TCATTTCTAACAACAAACGGTTTGTGGTATCATTCCACCGATTGGTCTCATCCGGCCGCTTGGACTGGGCTGTTATTACACTCCGTATTGTGAGCTTTGCATTCAACACTGGCTCTAAATTTTGAGACCAGATCTCAATGTTTCTGCTCGACGTTCTGTTTGTCTTGGTGAACAAACATGGATATCAGTTGTTTTTGTTTTCGTTTTTCTTGTTCTCTTGCTTCACAGTTTGCATCCATCATTCGAGGTTTGCAATCGGTCCGGTTGATTTTTGAGTGATGGTTAAGTGAAATTTATAGTCGCGAAACTGATCAGTCAGAATGTGGTGTTACCCGACCGTTGATTGGTTGATTGGAATGGACAGCGCGATTCCCGCGCATATTCATTTGACGGGATAGAAACTTTCGAGAAGGTGGTGGGTGATAGTGGTAAGTGCAGATCTTTTACCTTTGGTCACATGACTTCTGCCGTCCAACCATAAGGTTAACTGGAATGCAGAATGAATTCAAACGCGAATTGTGCATTGCGTTCGAAAAAAAGATTAGGAAATTCTTTCACATCTCTTTAATCAGCAGTAAAATTCCTGGAAAGGTCGCCACAACTGATGGAAAAACTGCGCTTACAAGACATAACGAGAGAAGAGGATTTCCAGATGAGTACATGAATATGCACCGTAGCATTTATACATCTAGGCATCTTCCAACCCATCAGGATTTTGTTCAAATGCGGTAACAAGAGAAATGACGAAGTATGCTTATTCAGCATTCATGGCTTTGCATGGATGCTGTCTTGCTAAAAAACGCTTAACGAGATGACAGCTGAAGTCAACGTTTCTATCCCGTCAAATGAATATGCGCGGGAATCGCGCTGTCCATTCCAATCAACCAATCAACGGTCGGGTAACACCACATTCTGACTGATCAGTTTCGCGACTATAAATTTCACTTAACCATCACTCAAAAATCAACCGGACCGATTGCAAACCTCGAATGATGGATGCAAACTGTGAAGCAAGAGAACAAGAAAAACGAAAACAAAAACAACTGATATCCATGTTTGTTCACCAAGACAAACAGAACGTCGAGCAGAAACATTGAGATCTGGTCTCAAAATTTAGAGCCAGTGTTGAATGCAAAGCTCACAATACGGAGTGTAATAACAGCCCAGTCCGAGCGGCCGGATGAGACCAATCGGTGGAATGATACCACAAACCGTTTGTTGTTAGAAATGATGCGAACAATACGTCAAAATAGATTTGAGCTGATGGTAAATACTAAGACTGCTGACCGTTTATCAATTTGCTGCCATAAAATTCGATCCATTCTAAAAAAAACACTTTTAGTGTTCATATTGGTATCGATTCATACAACTGTAGTTCTATCACACCTATTGGGACATGAATACCCATGTTTTCAAATTGTAACGAAGTCGTTTGAGATTATGTTGCTCGTGATGTACCTACCCCTTACTATTAGTGTGTATCAGTGAAATAATTCGGAAAAACGGTGATTACGAAGGGATGTATTGGTTGCTCATATATGCGAATCGATAAGACGGTAATCTGAGTATAGAACATTATGCCGTTCAAGATTTTACAGAAGAGTTCGGAACACGTAAACTTAAGTGAATTAAAATGTGATATGAAATAACTGGTAGTTTAGAATGAGATATTCGGCTAAGAATGACGGATAAGTCTGCAGACACATTTTATTGTGGAGCGGATATGAATACCACTTTTGGTCCGATCCAGTGCCCACTTCGTTTTGGAATGAGGTGCGAATGAGTTGTCGCTAACGCGTCGCGTCTTCCGTTTCCTCTTCCTATTCCCTTATCTTTTACTCACCACGAATAACTTACCCAATAGAGCCCACAGACTCCATCGACTTTGTCTCAATATTATTGTTGAACGCCAGCAATGTAATGAACCATATGCAAACTGTTCTATCTCGCATGCATCGACAAGCTGAAGCGCTACACAGATAAATGTCCCAAATCAAACCCCTACAGCAAGCGCATTCCATGTTGAACGATGACAGGTTGGGCTCGGGTATGGACAGTCCATTCGGGCTGATCGTGCCACAAGGTGGTCTCACTGGTGGTCCGTTGACCTACCTGACCCATGATCTCCAACTAGGTGAGGATGGTCTAGTGAGATTTCAGTTGCAATTTGACGTTCGTGAATATGAGCCAGAACATGTTGAGATGCAGAGGGACAAACAGTGGCTGACTGTGCATGCAAAGAAAAATGTGCAAACAGCGACGGGTACAAGTATGAGAGTGAGTTTTGTCGGACGGTGTATATGCCAGATTCGGTCGATGCAAGTCAACTTGAGTGTCGTGTGACAAACGATAGGGTGTTGATTGTGGAAGCCCCGGTGAAAGAGGATGATATGCAACAGATAAAATTCGATCATTATTTGCAGCCTGGAATAAAACCATGTTGTACTGACCGGACGGACCAGACGGGACAGAATGCGTGTCGGAAGGAGAACAACCGGAACAATCGCGCGGTGACGAGTGTACTGCTTTGCAGGTGACAGGTTAGGTCGAAATTGTACGACGTGCCTGGTGATCGGGTTTGCCTGTAATGAATCATTATATTTTGGATGATCGTTTGCTCTTGTGATCTCTTTGATTATCCATTTCAGGTCAACCCGGTCCGATAGTCCGAGAGGGTGGTCCAACTTCTCGACTTCTCCACGTGGAGATCCCGGTCGATGGGGATTTCAAGGCAGACGATTTGTGCGTGAGTGTGGATGCGAATCCTCTGGTGATGACGGGTCGTCGCGAGGCCAATGAGGATACTGACAGTGTTCGTAATAGTGCATCAGTTCATTCGTTCCTATATGGTGCCGGGGACGGGAGATCGATTATAGATGGTGAGTAAATTGCATGCAGGTACACTGGTGGCTGGGGCTCCTCTGCTTCACTCATGATGAGAACACTCAACAAGTTCCCTTTTTGGACCGTTACTATAATAACATCGTTTGCAGTAATCCTCTCAGTTTGCCATTTTGTTATTGTCATTATTAGTATCATTGTTGCTGTTGTTGTCACGTCTTTTCATTTCGTGTTCACAGTGTATTTATTGATTGAGTTATTTTTTTTAGTAATTTATCATATAATATATGTATGTAACAAATCATTTCTCTACTAGCCAACGGTATATATCATTTGGTAGGATGTGGAATAACCAGACTTGTATTGTTTAAGCGAGATAGCGCTCGATATGTAATGTTCTCAGTTAGTTTGTTCCAATATTTGTATTTCAGTTGTGATTCAGTGGTGTAGTATCTACGGCGGATTATAGTTACCTGTCTTCTCCAAACAACCGCTGCTTGTGTCTAAAGAATTACAGGGGCAAATCAGTTTTGAGCAAACAATCTTTCTTCGAGTATCTCTGCGAATTTGAGTAGGACAAAATGTGACGAACAAAGTGTGTTTCAATGATTTGGTTTTTGCGATCAGTGTATCACAGTTGAAATAAATGATGTAGAGTAGGCAGTGGTAAAGTGAAAGACTTCAGGGAATGAGGATTGTGAGCTTTTCTCTGATGAATGTCACACTAAATTATTGTGTTATGCGCAACCTATTAATAAGGAACAGGAGTGAACAAAGTTTGACTTGTTGCATTGTATGAGAGCGTTCTCGGTTTAAATTTCAGAATTCTATAACGGCCAACCGATTACTGTTGCCCGGTAGGCAGTTGTGCTCGTTTAATTGTAGGCTTTGGCAGTTTACTACTTCAAGACTCTGAACTGCGTTTGCCAGTAACTGTAAATGCATTCGTTGCAAGTCCCTGTGTTAGTGTTGTTCTTTAGTACTCTTTTCAATTTCCATCGAACGAAAATGTGTGATAACGAGGACGGTCAACGCGGTGGTGCCTCTTGCTTACTGACGACAATCATTCTGGAAACATCTCGGTTTTGATCAAAGCTCTTTGCAAATCGCTATGGTCCTATAGGCGTAAAAAATAACTTCAGTCAACGGGATAAGTGCAAAGTTACAAAGCTGGTTGTAGCAGAGCACAATGATCAGTCGCCTTACCCTTTGCGTCTAGTCTCTGCAACTTCCACATTTCTTCATCAAGCTGTTTTTTGAATAGGGGATGGATAAATGAAATAAGTTTCATTCGTAATAAACAAGTTGGAGGCTATTGTCTTTGCAGAAATATAATCTTTCATGTTCACGCTTAGTACAATCTTTGCTCCTCCGCGAATATTTTGCGAAAGTTGGAAAACTTTTCAACCATCCGCTGGTATCTTTTAAGTTACATACAGTATTTCCGTTGCTTAGTAGATCGGAATGTTTGTTCCGTGCACTAGCTTAAATCAGTGTCCCTTCACGTCATTGATTGGCGAGATGACACTGTTGCCAGGAGAATGTTGGCTATTTTTGCGATAGTGTTGACCTTCCCTGCCTCCGTTACGCGTTGCTCGTTTACTTGTCAGCTCGGTTCAAAGCGATACAAGCTCAATCCGTTTTGGTGGAGTTGTTTTTGCTGTAAGTGATTTTCTGATCCCGTATACGAGTAGGTATGTCATTGGTCATGTTGAGTGTGTTTGATGGTGTTTGCGAACTGTAACCAATAGGGAAGTCATGATGAAACACATGGATGAGTGAAAAACGAAAACAACATGTTTGTATATCAACGAGACCCGATGGTCAGAAAAATAGCTTCTTAATCTAAAAGTTAACAACTGTGCTGATCCCTAACTGGGCAGTAGTACGGAAGTATCCAGGCTGTAATATGATCGTCTTTATTGTATGGCTTGCGGTGTTCAGTGAAGACAAATATTCACTTAATTATAGTCCCTCTCAGGATGAGCTACCGTCCAGTGCTTACCCCCAGATAAAGTTTAGTACGAGTTGTGAATTTGGAAACGTCGTCCAACAGTGGACACGTTTTTATTTATCCATTACAGCTAATTACCCTGGTTACCCTAGTTCCAGCGCGGTGTAACTGAATTCATCAGCATCATGGAACAAACTACTGATTTGAGTGCGCGAAAAAACATATTCGACTTTATTACGAGTTGTTGCGAACAAAAGTTCGCGTGAGAGTTTTTTTTAATTAAGTTCAGTGTGTCCATCACAATGAAGTGCATGTTGTGAATCGGTAGTGTTGATCTGCTAATTGGGTTGAGCAAGTCGATGCAGAACACATGGACATATTGCTTTTGAGATGCTAGTGGTGTATCTTGCTCACATTTGCAAACCGTGTTTGTTGACGGATCACGATAAATAGGGTCTACGTATATACAACAATTGGACTTAAACAAGGTGCTGCTCCTCCTTGCTGGTCGACAAAATCATGACTAGTTTGGCAGGAATGATGCGAAGCATAGGACCGCGATCAATGGTGCTGGTTCGTCAGATGACGAGATAAATATTTTGATATAGAAATTCATCGTAGATACATAACAGAAGATTCTTGTGGTCTCACTATCAGTGAGGTTGTTGTTGTTCCCATCACTGTATTCACTTCACAAGTTTCACACTAACCGCCCACCTGTCTGAATTGCCGGTCACATTTGAACAGTCAGGAAGTGGAATGTTGTGGGCTGCCCATCTAGAAATTTCGTGATTGGACCACGGCCATTCTATTTCGATTGGGTCGTTTACGTTCACCACCCATTGGTTCTTCATTCACCGCATTGTGATTGGTCATTTAGGTTTCCCTTGATTTCCAAGTCGATTGTTTGCTTTCGTGTCCTTGAGTGTGCATGTTTGTTTGTCTGTCACCATGCCTGTTTGCGTCCTTTAGTGCCTGTTAGCTGAATGGAATGCGTGCGCACATCACAACAAACATCATCTGGTCGTATTCGCTGTGTCTGTGGTCGAAGGTTTTGGTTACTGGACGATAACCTGGATCATCGAAACCATACTGAGTAACCTACAGTCAATTACCCGTTACAGTGGCGTTCGCTCAGGCAAAGGAATGATGTTATTGTCGTATAATGAATTTTTCGAACATTTGTGGCTACTATTCATACCTTTCAAGTCCGAAATTGCTTTCGGTGGTAGGAAGATAAGTATATTGTGATGATATCTTCATCTTTAAAACAAATTTCGTTAGGCAATTTCACCTTGTACATTGCTATTTTAATTATAAATGTGGCCGTAGATCACACAAAAATTGCATTTGTTCTCAATGACTGTCTTGGATCATTCTGACAAAGGAGATTTACTCACTTTTAATGTCTGCATCATGAGTGACTGGTTTCGGCAATTTGTCATATAGAACCCCTAACAAGAGCGAGAATTCTTCACAAGACATCTAAATAGCGACCTGGAAGTCGTGATTTGGACTCCTGCTAACGCTGCCGATCTACCAGGCTTTTGTCCTCTAAAGTAGCGTGGATTGGTAGCAGCCTCGTTCCTGAATTACGATTGTACATGTATTTAATGAGTGAATGACGGAGGAAGTACAATATGATGAAAATACTTCACTCCTGTCCAAAAATCACGCTGTAAGAAGGTCTATGCAAAACATCATTCCTAGATTCACTTGAGGGCGGATATCTGCTGAGAAGCCGGGTCGATGAACCACCATTGACAGTTGGTATAAATCGCTGATTCCAAAACAGGGATCACATTCCCACCCTCCTGGTCGAAGAAGTGGTCAATGGTTTGACTGATCACAGAGATGCATTGGGCACCTTTGCAGTTTGATTCTGTCCTGCATCATCTGATGAACTGAAAACCTGTCCCAAATGAGTGTCAGTTTCCACAAACACTGTCTCGCAGACCTGAACTCAGATGGCCGACGGCTCCAGTTGTGAATTTCATAAGAAAATTCACCTGAATCAGAGGTTTCCAACGATCAATGGAATCTTTCGATTTTCATCGTTATACAATAAACGTTTTGCGCACATTTTTGAAGCATGAATCATTCAACGTAATTTATTTTTCATTCCACCTTCTGAAAAAGGCTGGTTTCCACAACTGAATGGTGACATAAGACTAGTGTTCTCTGAAAACAAGCGGAGAGATTCTCTGTGAAGCTACGGATTACGGATCCAAATAATCTAGTTAGCTCTCAAATACATTCAATGCGGATACCTTGATTCTAGCTTATTGGACTATACTGAATTTATGGTCCTTTAATGTAACATTGGAAAACTGACACTGCTTCTGTTTGTCTTGGGATTGGTTTATGGCAGTATTTCGACTGAACTGTTTTTCATATGTTGTAGTCATCGTTTTTATAACGTATTTTTCGCACCGGACACTCTGGTTATCAAACATATTTGTTATCACAAACAGGAAATTACGAAAACGTTTTTATAGAGAACATTACAAGTATCTGATACATTTTCGTTTAAGGTCTTTCAGAAAGCGATATGGTAAATCAGTGAAAATTGAGAATATAAACATATCTGTACAATGGAAATGTTTGTGATAACCAACAAAGAGCACAAAGTAATGACAGTCGGCCGTGTAGCTCAGGGGTAAGGGTTTGAAGTCCCGACCTGACTGATCTTGGCTCGAGTCCTGACAGGGACACAAAAAGTACGCACTGCTGACGAGTCCCAAACAGGAAGGAACAGCTGTCCATTGCTCTTTGTTGGTTATCACCGTCGGACAAACCGCTACGTTCATAGCACTGGAACAAGAAAGGCGTGTTGAATTTCGTTTAGCCACTTTGTTTCGGAAGCCGCCTGACTGCTACAAAACGGTAAGGTAATTGAATGCTGTATTGTCACCTTTTAAATTCTTCACCTTAACAACTAATATATGTAATACATCTTCTTAAAGTGCATTTCTTCATTTAGCCCCAATTCAAGTATTATTGTGTGCATCATTCAACCATCGGTTTTCAGTAGTTGAACTACTCTGAATTCCTTGGAGTTTCTCTTCCACAGGTTTTTAAAATCGATTGGATTTTGAATACAATATTATCTTTGTGATGGCATAACTGATTAATAGACAGTGCGGTTTACATAACAACTTTTTAAATAATATTCACTTTCCTTGAATATATACTTTGAAGGCACTTCGGCGTCATATTATTCCGAGCGTCAATTGAATTTACCCCAGAGATTTATTCTGTTAAAATTTACAAAAATGAAACGAGAAGAGTTACACAATCTGTTGCCCCAGTAAGCTGATGTTTGAAAAGCTCTCAGTAATTCTAAATGATAGCAAATATAAATAAGGGATTCAGGAAAAGCTCGGTTAATCAAATGAACAAATGCAACTCCATGATAACAAGTGTCGATAAAGACACTTGGTGTTTCCTCCCCAGCTGAAAGTATGCTAGTTCTATCCGCAATGGAATAGCGGAAGGTTGGTCAAATATGCCTTTCAGTGTGAAAAGTATAGGGGCAATTGCACTGAATCAAAGTGTACGTGGGTTTTTTTCATTCTATTCAACTAGCAGTAATTTACGACTGTTTGNGGTTACCAAATCAACACCTGTCTATCAGCCAAACTGTAGATACGTATGCAACTTCATTCTCCCTGGCTGAAACAGAATAGGGCAGCAAAGGGGAATGAATGATCAAATAGAGGTTAGCATTGTTTTCTACCACCGGTTCCAGAGCTCCCACAACAAAAACCGGAATACTCTCTACTTTAATTTAAAGAAAGAAATCAGTTTAATACATCCGATGCTGAGCAACATTTTGGGCACAAGATCCTAAAATAGGAGTTATCAGATAGGTGAAAAAATACAAGCTCGTTGATGGCTCAAAAACCCCAATAAGCCAACGACTGACTGAGCTAGTTGAACTTAAAGATAATCAAGTTTACGTTGTGCATACATCCATAGACTGCAACAAATCTTCCACGTGCTGCGAACAAGCAGACCAATAAAATGGCGCTGTACTTTCAATATGACAATGCTGCTGACCACTGCTCGTATAATACGACGTTGACCAAATGGATCAAGAAGCTGCAGTCAAGNAAACCAGATTTTAGATTTAAAATGAACTGAGAACATTTGGGGTCGAAATACTTGCCAGGTGTGCATAGTTTCTAGACTTATCAGTCAAAGAATGAATTGTTACCAGACCTTAGAAAGACCGGTTCGTTCTGAGGAACAGACCAGTAGAGGTTTTGTATGAAGATGGATAGAGCCCTTGAAGCAGAATGGCGGTTGCACACGACTTTAAGTGATAACTCTGAAAGCGGAACAGAGGTTATACAGTTTTTGATATACTTTTAGAGCATTTCGTGGCTCTAACTAGCGCAAAATGCATAGTTTCGTTCTTGAATGTGGTGTACCTTATAGTGTTGTACTTTTGTTTTTCTATCCAATTATGGTTTTCACTATATATGCAAATTTCTAGCTATTCCAACAAATGAGCGGATCATGTACCGTTTCCTCGATACATACTATTATTATTTTTAAATTGGTACTATCAACTTATTAAATTTATAGTAATCGGTTTTACTACTTATTTTGCATCAAGTTTGCTATAACCTACAGGAATTCGGCCGTACAAGTTGTGTGGGTTCTTAGATCGATGGGGTTATAGATAAAAATACAATTAAACGATGAATATGCAAACTGCAAACTTATAGGTTAAACAGATATGGATACTTTCTTGGAGTTAAATAACTGTTTCAAATGATTCTTTTACGAGTTTTTACGATAGTGAGATCGGTCAAGGAGACCTTAGAGAAATGGAGGTCAAAAACACGTCAAACCTTTCCAACTACATTCCGAACTGAATATTCCACGTTAAATTCTTCATAATTAGGAAGTTGTTTGTTCGGGGTAACCCATATGTGAGGCACTACAAACTAGATGAACAACAATACGGTGACTGGAAAGCACTATGCTATCCAGTTGTGACCATTTGAAGATGATCGTCTCACCCGTTTTTGCTAGGAAAAAATTAGGACAGTTGCTGACACTTGGAAAAAGAACGCCGTCATGGCGAAACTGTGAAATTCGGTATTACCAGTAGGTTTCTGCATTTGAGCAAAGTACATAAGATCACGAAATCACACCATTCATTCTAGAAATCGATACTTACGGTAGAAAAAAAAATGTGGATCAGGCGAAGCTAAGTCGCAATAATTGGGATTGGAATAGTATACTCAAAATGTTTGCGTGATCCATTACTAGGAATGTGTTGGCAACACGCCATCAAGTCTATCGCGATAATCATTCCCAGTCGTCTGGTTGGCCAGGATCTCGTGGTTGTTTTGACTGGCGCAGGTAAGAAAGATGAATCCCAACTGGTGCAACTAGAAGGATCTTCACGTTACCTTGGCTTGACGTCGGTCATGTTTCAGGCTGTTTGCCCTTCCACTGAGTGTAACTGAGCATCGCCAGGTACAAAATCCTTTTTTTCTACAGTAAGTAACAATTAATTTCCAATAAACTGGTTCCGAGAATACATCGTGATTCTACAATTTCGTGTTATTTCTTCAACTTTTCATTGAGGAAATGATTATTGAACATCCATGAAACGCTAAAGTTGAAACCTGTGCCGAAGTTCTACATCTGAATTCATGATTTAAAAATCAGAAGAAGTAAAAGTAGGATATTCACACTTTGTGTCTCACGAAGCCACAGAATATTCCTTATTGTCCTTAGGAACCCAATCTCGTACGTCACGTGATGTTCTGGCATTTCTTCACTCTATTGTGCCTTCTAGTAACTGACTTTTGAACATATAGTTCTATGTTTACAAAAATTGATTCATTGCCTTACACGGGTAACCGTAATGGTGTGAAACTGAAATAAAACCGTCAGAAATCGTTATCCTTCTGACGGCAATAGTTTTTAAGAAACAGACTGCTATAATTGCCTCGCCAACTAAAGAGATGCAATAAATCACACTAACTTTCTCAAAGGAAACCTATTTCACACCACCCCAATATTTCCCATGGATCGTCATTGATCCAGATCATGTTTCATTAATCTAACTTCCTGGTTTATATCCTCAAAATCAGTCAAATCAACGGTTGAGGGCATTGATCAATATGGCTGGGTGCTGTCAGTGGTTGGTTTGTCCAGCAATGTCTAGTTTCTGGGCTTTTACTTCCAGAAAACCACGGATTTTCATTTTTGTACGGCTTTCCATCTCTGTTGCTCTACTCCTCCATCTTTTGGCTAATCGATCAACTGAGTAGACGAATGACGATAATTAAAAAGAAACTTATGCGAACAGGGGCATTGTGGCCAGTTCCCACTACAACAGAATGCATGCTGTGATGAATGCGTGGGTTAGGTGTGCATATATATTTTTTGAGTACGTTATCTGTGCACGTACCAGTATCACTGAGTGAAACATATGAAAGCGACAAGTACTCAAAGGTGTACGTTGATCAGAAAGGTTTACGGTTGGGTTTCTTTGGGTAGATACATGAAAGATGTCAGCAACGCGTTGTCTATTTCATGAAGCTACAGAATATTCCTTATTGTTCGAAGGAGCTCAATCTCGTGAGTCACGTGATGTAATGGCATTTCCTCACTTTACTGTGCCCTCTGGTGACTCTGACTTTCGAACAAATAGCTCTATGTGTACAAAAAGTAATTCACCGGTTGGGTTTCTTTGTGTGGATACACGAACCATGTCAGCAACGCGTTGCCTACTTCATGTATGCGTTCATAAGACACATCGAACTATATTGACGGTACTCTTATTTCAATGATTTCAATTTTGTGTACCTAAGAAACGTTATTCGACCGCATATTGAAGCTTTGTGCTTTTTAGGATACTGATAGCCTCACATCTTCGCACTAAAGTATTTGTATCGATTTCTTTCTTAATAATAACCTCAATTTCAAGATGTTTTGCTATCCCCGTGGAGCGGCTTGCGTAACCTGCTCACGCCGTCACCAGAGAGTAAGCATATACGATGAGCGTGATATGATTCTCTTTCTCTCTCAGTTCTGACTGTGCGGCTGGTGGCGTTTGAATTTAACTGATATAGTATATCATCTTTGTGCAAAGCTACACATTGGTGTGTTCAGGAATGTCTTTCATTTACCGAAATAGGATTCGATGGTGTGAGAGTTTGTGAAGCTGAAAACCTGACACACACTAACCTATGGAGAGTAGCACACATTTTTCAAGTTTCATATCTATGCCGTAGAAGGTAAATTGAGTACATTGCATGATTTACAGAGCAAACTAGAGTTGCTGAGAAACAACTTCCCGAGGGCGATATAAGCTTTTGCAATGCGTTTCGAGAAGGAGCCTCCAGGTAATTTCCATCTCAGATGGGCAAATGTATTTACACAATCTAGATATCTAAACGTACTTAGAAAACCCTTGTTACATGAATATGGTAATATATAATAGTTGAGGCTTTCAGACCTTTTACAATCAGTTGTAGCATGCCTTTGTCAAAGTTGGTTTCAATATAGGAAAGCATGGGATTTCGTTCAAAACCAGCCGAAGGTTGCGATTGGGACAAATATGGACTGCTCATACTTCCATCCCCCTTTTGATTTGCCCTTATTGGTGTACCTGTGTAAAAGAATATGCCCTGAGAACAATTAAGAGTTTATCTGCTCAAGTCAACGAGCACCATCGAAGATAGTTAACCACGGGAGTTACCGGGAGCATAGTTAGCCTTGATCCGCAGCAATACGACCAATATGGGGTACAAGTGAATAGGCAAACGGTTAGATAACACATCCTAGCCACAACCGAGGCAATGGTGATCAAGCTACACTGAGTTATCCTCTGTCGGCAAAGATATTCTTCCCTTCCGGTCAAAGGCAAACAAGATGGCAGAAGATGCCAGTAATAATCAACCATCTGCCGAGGGACGTTGGAGCAGTGGCAAACAACTGTTAAACTAGGATAGATCAAAGAAACCTACCTCTCGAAGGGTATTTTACATAAGAATATGCAGTATATGAACTATGTGGATGTGAAAATACACTGATAATCCAAACATTAGAACCCCACCCCATCCACCAGTACATGCCACGCTCGGTCTAATTAGCAACCTAGAACTGTGCTCACATTTTTACCAAGAACGGTCTTGAGAATCCCGTGCTAACAGAAAGATTCATGTGTCCTCGTGCCGGCGTCCTTTTATGGTTCCGAAGCCTTGGGTTTCCAATAATTCTGGACAAGTTAAATGTCTTTTATTTTGCACAGTCTGTTTTGAGGTTTTGGAAGAGCAATCTCGTTGTCAGCCCTCACATGAATTTCACGATTCAAACAAGCCTTGGATACCCTAGAAAGCAATGCGTTGTGACCGGATTAAGTGATATTTGTTGACAGTACTCACCCAACCTCCGATCGTATTCGTGAACTATTATCATGTGCGATAGTTGATCAATATTCAAAAACCTTGGGACCAAAGGTTCCCAGTTGGCATCATTTCTGTTTCGTGTGTATGCGGATGAGCCGCAAGTTATTCGTTAGGTGTAAGTGAAAAGCAGGGAACCTGAGCCGCTGAAAAATAGAAAGAATACGACAAAGCAAGATATATGGTTTCCAAGTGGATGAGGCGGTAAGAAACACGCTAGATGACAGCCTCATTCTGGTAGTAATCAGTATTGTGTAAGAAACCAAAGGGAACAACAACGTTTCGGATTATTTTCAATTCAGATGCGCAGGAATGCTGAGGTTTGCTAAAGCGATTGCTATTAACCCATGTGTCAACAAAAAGAACTTTAAGTTTGTATGTCGCGAGCCTGGTGACATGGTCCTTTTACCTCTCCCCCTTTAAGACTTTGTCCGTTTTAATGTATTTTGCTTAACTTTGTTGCCATGCTAAGGCCCTATATAAACATTGTATTTTCTGCAGTATGCGCCATTTTGAGATGCAGCGAAATTATCATGGACACAATTTCTGTAGTAATGCACTATGGTCTTTCATTCAGAAACAAAGAATATTCCAGCGAAGGAATCACTGTTAGTTCACCATCTTAAAAACCAAGAATGTGTCTTTCCCGATTTGGATTGCACACCAGGATGATTCCTGAACAGTTGTAATCTGAATGCAGGTGTCGTAATAGAGTGCATCAGTGTGTATCAGTGTATCAGTGATCGAAGTCTCAGTTTCACAAACACAATTTAATAGAATGGTATGGAAAGATGACGTAAGGTTTAAGCCATAAACAGTCGAGAATAAGATGAGAGATTGGAGATCGAACGGACCTGGATAAAATAAAGAACTGAGTGAACTGGTGTTTAATGGTTGAGGGGTATCCGGACTGGTGGATGAGGCCGTTCAATCTAATGGAAACGGTCAGTTAGTTTTCATCAAAGTAGCTGTGATTGCATCAAAATACCTAAGTATGTTATCAGAACACAGATTTTTCTGCATATTCTTAAACGAATACGTCACGTACACCCGGGGTCTAAGAATGCAGTTATACAACCCGTATCATGGATCTTAGGGCATGTCGTGATTTGCTAAATCGCTAGATCTCAATATCACTGAACTGCAATCAGACAATCCTAAAAGAAAAATATTGAAAACTTCACGTTCACAGAACCAAACGGAAATAAAAAGCTAACTGTTGAAAGTCACTTTCTCCAGGTTATCTATCAAGTTCTGTTGAAAGTCAGTATTGTGAGGTAGGATTCGTAAGTGATAACTGATTAACAACATAGTTTCCTTTTAATGAAGTTGTTTTGTGTTGATCACGCTCAAATAGATGTACTCGTTTAAATTTGGTGATTGTGAGCGCGATTTTGGGCGATCAGAGAGAGATTTACCTCTTCGACGAGCAGCAGTTTGAGTGAAACAGCAATTAACCAAGAGTGCACAGAAACACAAGGGAAACTCAATGTAATGTAACCCATCTGAAACTGGCCAACGGAAGGAAGACTGTTAAAATAAATGAAAAAACAATGTTCTTTTCAGTTAATGAGCATCCAGGGGATATATTTGTCCCTTTTTTATAATACACGAATCTGAATTTGAAAGAAAGCGAGTGTGATAAAACTTCACTTTAATTTCTAAGGAGAAAGTGGTGGAAGGGAAGACGAGGATGGAACAAACGTAGGCAAGCACGCAATCACTGGAGGGAAATAATTAATCACGATGAATGACGATCGAAGTGTACTCGTTCCACTGGGGGAAACAAAATGTGGCGACTTACTGATCGACAGAACCGAATGAGGCAATAAAATAGCATAAAAAGATGAACTTTCAAGATTACATCTATAGTTGCTGTATTTTATAGGATAAGAACACTTGTTCATACTTTGCTAAACTCGATCCAATACACTAAAAGGATATTTTTTGTGTACATGAATTCTAGCAAAACTACCGGAAAATGCTAGACACTAAAAGAAATAAATGTGAGTGCGGACATTAAAGTATTGAAGAGAAGACGTGTTTTA